AAAAAAAAAAAAAAAGAAAGTCCTTTCACTATAGTCACCCATTAATTTAAAAGTTTTAAAAGACCTGGTGCTCCCAGCAGTAGAAAATTGTCAGTGTTTTTAAAAGATAAAATTACATAAGGGAGGAAAGAGCTCTGTGCTCTGTGTCCTTGAGTTGGTCACTGTGTCTGAGTGACCCTGTGCTTCGTGCCTCTGGCCTTATTTAATCAACGGGCAGCTGGACTAGATGAGTCCCTGGAGGACTCTTCCAGCAACAAGGAATGTATTCTCTGATCTCACCTGAGAAGGGTGATAGTTGACATTTATACAGTATAGTTTATAGAGCACTTTTCTACACCGGCACCCCTGTTACCCATGTCTAATCTGTTCCTGAAAGAGGACTGGCAGATTTGGGGATTGCAGGATCCTATGTTACATTATTGTAAATGAAAAAATAGTGATGTGTTTTAGCTTATCCAACGAATTCAGCCAATAACTCTCAAACATTTAAAAATCCCTGCAGACCTCTTCAGACTGTGGTCACAGTTGGCTCCCAAAAACCCAGAGTTGGATTTAATCATTTCACAATGTATACATACATAAAAACAGCTTGTTGGATACAATAAATATTTATGATTTCATCTGTCAATTTTTAAAAATCTTTTAGGGGCTCAGCGCCTGTGGCTCAAGCAGCTGAGGTGCCAGCCACATACACCTAAGCTGGCAGGTTTGAATCCAGCCTGGGACTGCAATCATCAATGGTGGCTACAACCAAAAAATAGCCAGGTATTGTGGTGGGCGCCTGTAATCCCAGCTACTTGGGAGGCTGAGGCAGGAGACTCACTTGAGCCCAGTAGTTGGAGGTTGCTGAGAGCTGTGATGCCACGGCACTCTACCCAGGGTAACAGCTTGAGGTTCTGTCTCCAAAAAATAAATAAATAAAAAATCAACCAAAAAAATAAAAATCTCTTGGGCAGCGCCCATAGCTCAATGGGTAGGGCACCGGCCACAAACACCAAGGCTGACGGTTCAAACCTGGCCTGGGCCAGGTAAAACAACAATGACAACTGCAAAAACACAGCAAGAACAACAAAAAATAGTCGAGCATCGTGGTGGGCACCTGTAGTCCCAGTTACTTGGGAGGCTGAGGCAAGAGAATCACATAAGCCCAAGAGTTTGGAGTTGCTGTAAGCTGTGACGCCACAGCACTCTACCCAAGGTGACAGCTTGAGGTTCTGTCTCAATAAATAAAATAATAAAAATCTCTAATATATGCCAAGGATTTCCATATCATAGAAAAGCTTTAAAACACCAATTACCTATTTATGTAAAATTCTCAGTGAACTCATTGGTAGGCATCTTAGTGTACAGAACACAAAAATGTTGTGCAATATTAAATCAAAATTCTTTCTTGTGGCTCGGTGCCTGTAGCTCAGAGGCTAGGGTGCCACCCACGTATACCGGAGCTGGTGGGTTTAAATGCAGCCCAGGCCCGCCAAACAACAATGACAAGTACAACCAAAAAATAGCCGGGTATTGTGGCGGGTGCCCGTAGTCCAGCTACTTGGGAGGCTGAGGCAAGAGAATCATTTAAGCCCAAGAGTTTGAGGTTGCTGTGAACTGTGACATCACAGCACTCTACCCAGGGTGATAGCTTGAGGCTCTGTCTCAAAAAAAATAAAAATTCTGTCTTGTTTCAGTGAACTTGTTATAAAATAAAAATAAGTGATAAAATGTTTGGAGACACATAATGAAAGCCATTAACATTTAGGAAAATATAATAAAGCCTTTTTTCTTCTTTTTTTTTGTGACGGAGTCTCACTAAATCACACTCGGTAAAGTGATCTGACATCACAGCTCACAGCAAACTCAAATTCTTGGGCTTGAGTGATTCTCTTGCCTCAGCCTCCCAAGTAGCTGGGACTACGGGCACCTGCCACACGCCTGGCTAGTTTTTGGTTGTAGTTGTCATTGTTTGGCAGGCCAGGCCTGGGTTCAGTCCAGCCCTAGTGTCTGTGGCTGGTGCCCTGGCCACTGAGCTATAAGCGCTGAGCCAGTAAAGCCTTTTTCTAATTGGTGAGGAACCAAGAGTTGCCTGAGGGGCATTTGATGGCTAGAGAGGCAAGGTGAACAGAGGAGGTAGTTGCTCTCTCATGGGGGGATCAAGAGGGGAGAAAGTCATAGTGAGCCAGTGAAGGCCTGAGGGAAACATGTCTGGGGATTCATCTCGCGTCCAAATTCCAGACACTGCATAATCCTTTCATGACATTCAAGACTCCAAAATGTAGGCTCGGCGCCTATAGCTCAACCGGCTAGGGCGCCAGCCACATACACCTAAGGTGGCGGGTTCGAATCCCCAGCCCGGACCCGCCAAACAACACTGATGGCTGCAACCAAAAAATAGCCAGG